TTCCCACACTGGGAGCAGCGCTGGGGAGCCGGAGGTGTCAAGGAATGGAAAGCAGAACCACTGCCGCCACGGGCGAGCTGGCAAACACGTTTTCATGTGGGATGCAGAGGAGGAGGCATCTGATCCCCCCTTTTCCCCCTCCGCCTCCTTTCAACACACACCAGCCCCCAGACCAGCTGCTGGGGGAGGGAGGGTTGAGGTTTTTTTACCCCCACCACATCCCTTTCGAAAGGCCATCTGGGCTTCAGCCCTGCCTGTGCATCACCCTGTTCACAAGTAATTGCTACCTGGTCACGCTGGACCATGAGCAGAGCCTGGGTGGGAACAGAGCACAGTGACCTTTTTTACTGCCAGGGCACCCTGGCAGGGTGGGCTGGGGGCAGCAGGAACACGGGGGAGCACAGAGAGGGTAAAGGTTTCCTTAACTCCTGCCGTGCCGAGCACTGCGAGGCAGTGACGCCAGTCAGGGCAGGGAGTGGGATGAGGGCACCCCCTGTTGGGGTGCATGGTGTGGATGGCTCATGTGGATGTCCCCAGGGTGCCAGCACGTGTGAAGGAGGAACAGCATGGACAGGGGGAGAGGCAAGCACTGGGAAATCCTCCCCTCCACCTGCCCTGGTTTATGTCTCCGTCCCATCAATGTGGCTGTGGATGAGCACCGTCTGTCCCTCAGCATCCCTGTTATCCCAGGCAGGTTGATGGGGGTATTGGCCGTGGCAGGGAATGGGATCCCAGCCCGAGCTGTCAGCTGAATTACTGGGTTCAAGGGCTTTTTTTTTTTCCCATTTCTCTCTTTCTTTTTCTTTCCTTTTTTTTTTTTTTTTTTTTTTTTTTTTTCTTTGCAATGCTAATAGCTCTGCATTGCACTGGCTGCTGATCCCTCATTAATCTGGGCAGCACTTCACAGCCAGCCACAGTGACTTTTGGCAGGTGCACAAAGGCAGCCAGCAACACACAGACCCCCCCAGCCACAGACATTACCATGCACAGCCTTCCTCCAACTTTTGTCTCTGTGTGGCAGGGACGCAGATTAAGGAATTTCTCCCTCTGCCTTTGATGCTGTGTGTCCATCCGTCCCTCCACAACCTCCCCAGTTTGTTCCCCACCTCCAGCTCTCCCTGTTTGTGTCCGGTTGGACCCAGTCTCCTTGTGCTTTCCATCTGCTGCTGAGCCACAGGCACCCACCCAGGGTCTTTCTCACCCACCATGGTAAATGTTGGATGTGTCCCCCCACTGCCCGGCTCAGAAGTGATGCATGCAGAGGTCATATGTGTGGGGAGAGGTGGATGATGTCTCTTCTGCTTTCTCTTTTGTCTGCTAAAGGCTAAAGAGTTGCTTAGGGCAGTGTCCTCCAAGGTCCTCCAAGGAAGGTCCCCCAGGTCCTCCAGCCTGGGTCCTGGGGGAACATCCCCCTGCCAGGCAAGGTACAGCCTTGACCCCATTGTGCATGCAACCTTCCATCTGCAAACACTCAACTGCAGGCTGGCTGCAACTGGGGAGAGGCAGGAATTGCTCCCAAGAGGAAGCATTCAGCCAGGAGGGCTCTTTGGGCTGGAGTAAACACTCCGGGTGGAGCAACAGCCTGGCCAGGTCATTGGGACCTCATCATGGCTGGCCTGCCTGCAGCCTGCTTGTTGTGGGGCTAGGGAGCAGCCAGCAGGGCTTGGAGCATGCTGAAAGACCTTGAGAGAGGCAAACATCAGTCGGATAAGCCCAGCAGCCTTGGGAATGAGCCTGTGCTCATTCCCTGCTTCCAAAACACCCCCTGACCCAGCACAGGATAAGCTGGGAAAAAGAGGCTTAGAGGGAGCTGGCAGCTCACCGATGAGGTTTCATTTACTTTGTGTCATTAGGAATTATTTAATGGTCACATTATCATCACCAATCTAAATTGGTGGATGCCACCAAACACTCCATCCAGGTGGGTCCCTGCTGTGTGGCGTGCACAGTGCTGTACGTGTGTCCTGTCTTGCTGTGACAGTGACCAGAGCTGGTGGCAGAGGCACCAATCCCAGGTTCTGGGTGTCAGGAACAACCTCACTGTGCCACAGGGGTCCTGTTCTGCCTACTCTTCCTGGGAGCCTGGGCCATGAAGGTGTGTCCCTGTGAGAAGAAGGTGCATAAGTTGCCTCCTCAGCTCTCTGGGTGCAGCAGTGGATGCCAAGAGCCTGATCCAGCTCTGGCTTTGGTCTGGGCTGAGGAGGGCTGGAGTTTGGTGGGGTTGGTGGGATGGGTCTCAGCCAAGAGTCCCTGTGGGTTGGAGGATGAATAGCCGTGTCCTGCAGGAGGGACCTGCATCCTTTTCATCTTCTTTTCCCCATCCTCCCTTCTGCCCAGACTTCATAGGATTTCAGTTTTCACCTATCCCGTAAGTGAAATGGCCCAAACCCCTTTTCCTTCAGGATGGGCTGTGTCCAGCCAGGGATGGAAGCAGCCACCGTTCTTGTATAGACTATGCTGGGGCCCTGTGAGCAGCTAGACAGGATTGCTCTAAGCCTAATCCCATTATCTGGACAAGAGGCAGTGCCTGTGACCCCAGGGCTGGCTATTGGCCTCTTCAGCATGCTGGAAACTCAGGAGTACCCGGCACAGAGCCCCACTGGAGTCAGTGGTCTCATCTGCCCTTATGCCTGGCTCTGACCACAGACCCCTTGGTGGATACCCCCAGTAGCTGCCAATGGGTCAGACCCAATGGTGAGACTTACGGCACAGTGGGAAGCTGTCCCCTTGATGGTAGGGGTGGAGTTGGGTACCAGATGTCCCAGCGCTTCTGCTAATAGTGGTTTAGGTCTTAGGCACACCTCAGCTTGGCACAGCCGTGAAGTGAAGCCCTGTTTGCATCCCACCAGCATTGTGGGTGTCAGCCCCAAATTGCTGGTGCAAGGAGAGGCAGGGCTTGGCCTCCCTCAAGCCAGACCCCAAATCTGCAGTGTTGTGATGGACACACACCTCTCTCCGTGCTGCTCCCCTGCAAAGTTTTGGTAGCAGCTTCATACCTCGCAGCCCTTTGCCCTGTGATGGCTGAGGGGGGGACACTGGCCAGGCCTGCCTCCAGATGTGTTCCAGATGTGGGGCTCTTGTGATCTGAGGCTGGGCAGTGTGAGCAGCTGGGAGCTCAGAGGCCAAGGGCCCTGCTGTGCCGGGCAGCAGGTTGGATTTGGTGCTGGGACAGGGAATAGGGAAGGAAAGACTCTTAGCTGGAGCAAGAAAGCATCCCTGGTGGGGATCCCCAAGAATGACTGTAGAAGCCAGGAGGGCCTGCAGTTTGTGTGCCAAAGGGATTATATCTGTGCTGGGTGTTGCACATGCTGTACTGGGAGAACTGGAAGAGGGCTGGGTCTTTCTCAGGATAAGCTCCATCTTTTCAGGTACTCCTGCATGCGTGGTGACAAGATTAATCACACTGGCCACTGGCCAGCCCACCACTCATCACTGTGTGCGCACCATCCCTGTATATGTAAAGCTGTAGTGCCAGGGCAGCCTTGTCCTGCAGCTGCATTGGCCCAGGCACCTTGGGCAGCCCAACAGTGCAGCTTTTCTCTCTCTGGGCTTTGAGATGTGATCAAGGACCAGACAGAAGGTTTTGGCTCCATCTTGGTCCTGTTCTTGAATTGAGTTCTTAATAAAACTCAGGTATCAGTGGTCCCAATGCCTGACCCTCCTCTGGGTGGCTGGGGAGACTTGGACAACCCACATGAGTTGTGCCATGAAGTTTCCCCCATCTGTGAGGTGCCACTTGTTCTGCTCAAGCACGAGCCCCTGGCTGGGTACCAACACTCACAGATGGGCTATGTCAGACCTGCACCATCCCTCATCCCTCCAGCATCTTTATGACCAACATGTGTTTGGAAAGAAGATGATTTGTGTAAGCCAGGGCACAGCGAAGGACCAGGGGTGCCCCATGTCCCCATATGGGGACACAGGTAGAGCAGAGGGGAATGGAGCTGGCAGCGTGTTGGTCCTCAGCCTCAGAGACTGGTGGAGGGCCATTTCCCACACAGTCTCTGTGGATGCTCCTGCCCTGGTCCGCTCTGTGTCCTCAGAGAGGACCCAGAGGCCAAGCCTGGCTCTGTCCCTGGAAGGTCACTTGTGTGCTAAGCCCTCCTCTGTCAGCCAGGCGTGTCTGCTCACTGCTGGCCATGCGATGGGGTGCATTTCTGCTGAGCATCTGCACCCTGGCACAGGGTGCCCAGAGGAGCTGTGCCTGCCCCATCCCTGGCAGTGTTCAAGGCCAGGTTGGACATGGGCTTGGAGCAACCTGCTCGAGTGGAAGGTTTCCTTGCCCGAGGCAAGGGCTTGGAACTGGATGAGCTTTAAGGTCCCTTCCAACACAAACCATTCTGTGATTCTATGATCCCTCCCTCTGTCCTTGAGCCACGATCCAAGTGGATCAGAGATCCCTGGAAGGTGTGGACACAGCCTGGGATCAAACCATTGCACCAGCAGCCGCATCCCCAAAATGGGATGACCACTCATAGCAGCAGAGACACCAGGACAGAGGGAATTGTTTTAGGAAAGACAGCTAGTCACGGCTCGATCCTCATCCAAGGTCCCAGCCAGAGGGATGCAAACTGAGCCAGTGGGATGCCAGCAGGCAGGGGAGCAGGGTGGCAGGTTGGGAAAGACTCATGACAGCTCTGGCAGTGATGCCCAGAAGGCGTGTGCACACACCCCAGCTTCAGCACCCAGCCACACCAACACGTCCAAGTGGAGCCTGCCCAAGCATCTGCTAGATTCTGGTGACCTCTAGAGGAAGCCATTCTGCTCCAGCAACTCAAGTCTGGGAGCAGGACAGGGTCTCACTGACCTTTAGCTTAGCTGCCACTGGGAAGTTGTCCCCTTTTAGCCCTGTCCTGGGCTCATGCCTCTGCCTAAAACCCCATAGAACTTCCCAAAGTGCCTTGAAAGTCTCACTGTCATCCTCTAGCGAAGCTAAACCTGCTGATTGTCTCATACCTCCTGGTGCCTGGGGTTTCTCCTGACCACCCTGCTGCCCTCAGGTTGAGCTGTCGGACGGGACATCACACACCATCACGGACGCCTATGCTGGCAAGGAGTACATCATCCAAGTGGCGGCCAAAGACAACGACATCGGCACATGGAGTGACTGGAGCGTGGCTGTCCATGCCACCCCCTGGACGGAGGAGCCCAAGCACCTCACCACGGAGGCGCAGATCACAGGTAAGAGCCCCCTCCCAGTACAAGCAGGCTGTGCTCACAGCCAGGGTACCCATGAGCCATGGGGGAGGGTCCCCCTTGTCTGGCTTCACATAAGTTCCATCCCCAGCCAAGGAGATCCTCCCAGCACCTGAGGGGAGTGCAGCCCCTCACCCTACACTTTACCCCCAACCCATGGCCCTGACAATGGGTGCAACTGTGGCCTGAGTGACCCAGCTTACTTGGTTTTGGTATCCTCATCACCAGGATGATTGGGTGTCATGTTATTTTGATGATGATTATGACGATTATGATGATGATTATTATTATTACTGTTATTATTGTTATTCCCCGAGGCCTCTGGCCCTCCCTTTCCAGTCCTACCCCCTCCACACCTCTGACCCCGCACAATAGCTCGGAGCAGTGCCAATTCAAAATAAAAGCCACAAAGTTAACAAGCCTCTGTTTCTAGGAAAGAGCTGGGACTGTGTCCAAATGGGCGTTATCAGCCCTCTGTTTCCCAGAAGGGCTGGGGTTGGATGCTGCACTGGTTGCCCTGGCTGGCACCGGGCAGGGGGGAACCACTGCTGCGCAGGCAGGCAGTCACCAGGCTTCTAGTCAAGACTGCAGATGTGATGTGGCCAGATGTGCATGTAAGGAAAGGGGGTACTCAGTGTTCCCATCCTCCAAGCTCTAACCCAGATGTGCGCAATGCTGTGTGCTACCAGAGCCACGCATGAACCTCTGAGGGCCCTGGCAATGCTCATTGCATGGGGATGCGGTACATGCAAGACCTGGATGGTGGTGCCTCCTACATGGAGGTACCCACACCTGCCAAACCAGCACCCAGGAGGGTGCCGGGGGGGTTAGGTTGTAGCAGGGATTAGCAGCCCGTCATCCCCAGGGGGATAATCCCCTCCAAGGAATGCAGCAGTGCTGGCGTTAGGGTTTGGGTTTTGCTTCTATACCCACATGCATCATGCCAAATACAAATACCACTCACAAAGGCACTTTCCTGCTCTCTGTTTGTCATGTCCCTCGCACACATGCACCTTGTATGCATGTCCCTGGCTGCAGCCATGCAGGGCTGATGTGCAACAGTCCAGCTCTGGGGCCGAACCTCACCATGACGCCTCAGTGGGGTCTGAAAGATGCTGAGACAGATCTTTGTGTCCTCATTATCCACAACAGATTGTCTGGAGGCACTTTGGGACCTTCTGGATGTGACCAAGGCTGCCTCAGCCTGACTGACCATCCAAGCTCTCCCTGCAATCCTGCATCCCTCCACAAGGACAGACAACCCATCTAGTCCTGTACAGAGGAGAAAAAGCCCTGTGAACCAGCCCAGCAGCCACAGCCATGTCTGGGATGTTCCCTGGACAGGGAATGCTCTCTTCTGAGCACTTGTGGCCATGTCACCATGAGTTCTTAGACAAATTCCTGCCAAACTGATGCACAGAGTAGTCTAGCTGGGCTGGATGGGTCTGGGAGGGATGCGCAGCTCTGCTTGGTTGTGCAAGCATCTCTGGTCCGGTGTCAAAGCAGGGACAGTCTCATGCACCACATCATCCCCTGGCTCATTATCTGAGCCTCCAATCACAGCCCTAGTGTGGCTTACCAGTGAGAGGGGCTATTTGGGGACAAGACAGTGCCATGTCCCCACTAGCAGGGAAGTGGAGCTGCCCCTATGGGACACATCTCCGGGCACCCCTAATCTTTCCCTCCCTGCAGAGACAACAAGCACTAGCACCTCCTCTTTCATGCCACCCCCCACCACCAAGATCTGTGACAAGGGGGCCGTGGTGGGCAGCGGAGCTGTGGCAGTGTGTTGGACAGCTGGACTGGTCTTGGCTGCCTATGGCGTCCTCTTTATTTAGTGAGTATCACTCAAAACATGAGTGAAACAGACTGGATGTGGGTGCAGGGATATGGGGACTCAAGGGGCTCCAGCGTGGCTGGGAGAACGGGGTGTTCTGATCAGGATGTGTGTGAAAGGCATTGAGAACGAGCCATTTGGGGGTTTTCTTGCAGTTTTATTTTATATGCACCCAACCTGGCTGCTTTTCCAGATTGTGTGTTCTGGGAGAGATCTCAAAAATGGCTTTTCAGATATTTTCCACAAAGCCTACAGAGGGATCAGTCTTTAATGTCTCGTTCTCAGCAGCCCTCTCCCCTCCCCACTGATGATATTTTAAGAGGCCAAGAAACCACGTGGAAATCTAAGCCCTTTGTGAAGTGACAGAGGAAAAACTATCCAAGATCAGAAAATTCAAAGATGCATCTCAAAAATGTCTTTGGTTTGGCTTCTAATGGAGCTGGCAGCCTGGAGAGCCCCAAAATAGAATCATAGAATCAACTAGTTTGGAAAACTCCTTTAAGATCATCAAGTCCAACTGTTACCCCAAGTTGCCAAGTCCACCACTAAACCATGTCACTGAGGGCCTTATCTACATGGTTTTTGAGCACTTCCAGGGACAGTGACTCCACCACTGCCCTAGGCAGCCTGTTCCAATGCCTGAGAACCCTTTTTGTGAAGAAATTGTTCCTAATATCCAACCTACACCTCTCCTGGTGCAGCTTGAGGCCTCTTCCTCTTGTCCTATCACTTGTTACTTGGGAGAAGAGAACAGACACCTCCTCAGTCCCTATTCATCTCTGGGCCTGGGCTGCTGTCTCAAGGGCATCCCCCCATCCCTTTTCACCATACCCACACTGCCCAAAGACTGGGGGATCTGTCCTTTGTGTCACTTTGTGGGATAAGGGATATGCCACACATTCTTCAGTGCCCAAGGAGGATCTATTGCAAGGCAACTCTGTTGGGCGAGGGGTCCTATGCTCCTCTCTGGCTGTGTCACTTCCACATGTGACATTAGCGGTGGCAACAGAAGAGGGAGGAAAACACAGCCAAGAGTGGATGGGCAGGGTCCAGCCCTGGGAGGAGGAGGTGGAGGTGATGTGTTTGGGCACCTGGGTTCAGGTAAGGGGTGAATTTCCCTGTGGAAATAGGCAAAATCCTGTTCAGAGTCCCCTCAGTGGCCGGGCATGGCCAAGCATGGAGCAGGACCAGTGACCCCTCTCCTTCCGCTCGCAGATCCTCATCTGTCCGTCCATTGCATCCCAGCGCAGAAGACGCCTTCCCACCACCCACCACCGCTGCCACCCTGCGCCTCGCTACCCTCTTTCCCAGGTTGAGTCTCTTTATCTCTTCGATTTTGCACACGTTGAGGACGTATCACGCTTCTTGCCATCGCTTCAGATGAGGACAGAGCTGCTGCCGTCCCATGGGGAGCCACAAAATCCTCTCCCAGATCGGAGCGAGGAGACGCACTTGACCCCCCCCCTCTATCCCCATGCCCCTTTTCCCAAGCAAGGCAAAGCGAGCCCGGTCACCGTGCTGCAGCTGAGGACCCCGCTCATACAGCTAACCCCCCCCACGCCAAAGACGTGCCTGCCACCCCGGCACCCACCCAGGTGACAGGGAGTGTGACGGTGCACGGAGAAAAGGGGATATGAAAATGGGGGGGGTGGTGAGGGGAATGATGCTCCCAGCTGAGGACCCCCCTATGGAAGATGGGGGTCCCCCCAAGGACCGGACTCGCTCCCCCGAGCTCGTGACAGCATGGTGAAGCTGAAGGGGTGAATGGGTTGGAGAGGGGTCTTGATCTCCTCTGAGGGGATGGATTATGGAGGGAAGAACTGGTGGCTTTCACAAGTGTGGTTGGGAGCAGGGAGCGGGCAGGGTTTTAGTGGGAAAGAAAGGAGGAAATTAAATACCAATAAAACCCCCCTGCCCCTTGCTGAGCGCCTGGAGCTGCCCCTCTGGCTCCCCCCGCCCCACCCCAGCACCCTGCAGGAGCCTTCACCACCCTCAAGCCCACATCACCACCAAACTTTTAACTACATTGGATACAGGGAATCGCCCCCGTTGACGTACTTGTCTCACTCCCCAACAAAAGCAGCATAGCTCTGCTGTTGCCTTTAGAGCTGGAGCCCTGCAGACCTGTCCCCTGCTGTCCCCTGCTGTCCCCTGCTGTCCCCAGCTGTCCCCAGCTGTCCCTGTGCCTGCTCTGCTCTAAATCCTGCCCCAAGCCCTGTTTTGTAAAGACACCTCCTCTTGCCCCTGCCTGGACCCAAGCGCAGTATTTAATACCGTACGTCCTAGTATTCCCACTGTTGACATGCTGTATTTGAATTTTTTATAGATGTATATATATAAAAAACAAAAAAAAGAATCAAAAAAAAAATAGAGGGGATAAAAATAAGCTCACACAGACAACGCACACACGCGCACACACACATGCACCAGGAGAGACCGTCTTCATTAAATGAACATTTCATGATGTGTAGCAGCTCTGGCTGTTATTTCCCTTCTTGTCTGGAGTGGGTGGGTTTGGTCTGCCCCGCTCCTGTGTGTGGTGCTGGCTGTGATGGGGGTGATGTGGGGATGGCAGTGAGGGGGATACAGAGCCTGCCCTGAGGACCGAGCCCATAGTGTTATCTCCCTAGAGGGATGGGGGACCCAAAAACTGGCCTTTAGGACATCCTGAGAAGGTGCAAGGGGGATGCTCACCCCTGGAAACCCTGTGTGATGTAAAGGGGATGTTGTCACCACCCTGTGCCATATGTCTCCATTCATGGGCCCTCGGGAATCACCACGTGTCCCCAAAATCCTGCCAGACCCTGATATCACTCGGGCAGGCAGAAGGATGGAGAAATGCCTGTGCCCCACTGCAGCACAGAGGCTGGAGGTGGCAGGTAGTCCCAATTAATGCACTTTCCTTGTCTGATTAATAATTTCACATTAGGAAAATGCCACTGGCCCAGATGCTCTGAATTAAACTTCCATCAGGGCAGGGCTCACGGGAACCTGGCACAGGGGCAATGAGTGAACAGAGCACACTGTGTCAGGGTCTGGCCTCTCCCCGTGTACGTTGCTTGCGAACACCAACCAGAGCAGAGGTGTCATCAAGCTGCAGTTCATCCCAGGGGGAAAAAATCTCCACTTTTTAGCAAATTTCCTGCCCATTTGGATGGATGGATGGATGGATGCATGAGTAGGTGGGTGGGTGAAAGGATGGAAGTGAAGAAGTCACAACCCTGGCTTTCCAAAGCCAGCTCCCACCAGGCACTTGCTGTAATTTTAACCATGCTGGGGCTTTATAAGAGGAAAGCAAAGTCCCATGCAGCCCTGCCTCTGTCTCGGCCTTGCCAGCAGCAGTCCTGGCTCATGTGCTGGCTTGGTTCACTGGTTAATGTTCCATTACCAGACAACATGCCTCAGTCATTTATTAATGTTTCATTAGTGTTAAAAACATCTGGTAATTAATTATGCACTAATTATGGATTCACAGTGCTAAAAGCCAGAGTAATTTACCATAGCAGATGGCTCTTAGGGGCAGGGGGAAGGGACAGCTCTTAGCAGACATGAAAATGTCAGGCCCAGCCCTTGCCTGGGGGGAAGCATCCCAGACAGACAAATTGCCTTCATCTCCACCCTGGACCTCCATGCCTGGTCCGGAGGCATGCAATCTCAGGTTATTAAGCAGAGGAAACCTGTCCCTCTCAATCTGTTTCAGGGACCAAGAAAGCAGTGCTCCCACTGTATGAGAAGCCATCCAACAGTGGTGGCTGTCACACAGAGCCCCAGGCATCCTCCAGCACCTGGAGTTGGTACACAGCCTGCTGCTGGCTTTGGGATGCTGTTCATCAGCCCCTCCACAGTGCCTGGCCAGATTAAGCAGCAGTCCATAAAGCAAGGGGTGTCGTAAAAGCCCACTCTTTAAGTGCCCCAGCAATATTATGTACAGATGTGCAGAGATGTTTCAAACTGGGGAAGGTCCCAGAGGAGCATCCCTGCCAAGCAGAAAATCCATCCACTTAACAGTATAAATCCATACAGGAAGAAAGAGGGAATTACAGTGCTCAGAGAGACCTGTGCATCACATAACCTGAAATCCAATACATCAGCTGGGTGCAATAGGTCCCTGCATCTTCTCACCACATATGTGGCAGTAAATCCCATCTTAGGTGTTGTTTTCAACTGTTGCTGATGCAAGAGTAGCCTTGCACTGAGCTCCCCAGGCTCTGCAAGGAGCAGGTCTGAACCGAGGGGTGGGTGATAGCAGAAGTCTCATCTTCACTGAACCAATAGAGAAGTTCCCTGCTCCTGCACCAGCTTCCCAGGAGCCTGGAGACCCACGGTGGTAACAAGCAATGTATTTATCACAAATTGGGCTGAGAGAGATGAGCTTTGATGGGGTACCTCACTTCAATGGATAAAGGAGGAGCAGCGACCATGGTGCTGTGCAGCGACCATGGTGCTGTGCATTTCGGCTCTGGAAGAGTATTAGATGGCCCCAAATGAGAGCAGGGAGGCAGCAGGGGGTGAGGGCAGGCTCAGCTACCAAAAAGCACACAGCTACACAGCGAAAGCCAAGCATGAGAGCATCCTACTGAGTCAGGTGGAAGTGCCAGGTAGAATCCATGGAGCTAGCTGGCAGAGACCTGCTTATTTGCACAGGGGTAGACCTGGTCCCCAAGAGGAAAACCTCCTCCTCCATTGCAGGAACAGGGTGAGGTGAGAGTTGGGGATGAGAGAAGCAGGAGTTGTTAGAGAGGTAGTCCCTGGCATAAGAGTGTGAAGATCAGCATCTGTGAGTGGTGAGGGTGTAAATAGAGTCAGCTTGACTTGGAGGAGCCCAGATATCCCCAGTCCTCAACCTCTGACAGTGTCAAGTCCATCAAATACAAGAGCCTATTCCAAACCACTGGGTATTGGTTCAGAAAATGCCTACATCACCCATAGAGAGATGTAGCACTGTATGCCCTTGACAGGTTATAGCCTTTGTCCCAGGAGGGATGGCTCAGACACCAGGGT